CACCTTTACACAAATAGTGTAAAATTGCCACTGGTTTGGGAAACACTGCTGCATTTTTGGCTCCAAATATTTCACCCAAACCACGCGTTCATTTCCAATTGGAAGAAGTGTCTCTGAAGGACTTCTACAAGAAAAGGCCTTCCTTGAAGCACAAGCTGGAGTCCATTCGATGTCAGTGAGCCGATCACAGACGTAAGGAAGCGATTGGTGAGCGCGGTGCAGGGCGGCGTGCAGCCGGGGCTGTGCTGGAGTGCAGGGTGGGAAGGGAGCACAGAGCACACGCAGAAAGAATCAGCAAAGAAGCCCGGCGCTGCGAGATGCGGAGCTTTGTTTGTACAGTATTTCTAAGGTGTGTTTTGTATGTCTGAAAACCCACGTTATTCAGCAGCTCGGCATCGCTCCCCCATGCCCGGCAGTGCTGAATAGTGAGGCACAGCGGGCGGCCCTTTATTCCCAGGGAGCCTTAATCGCTCCCTCCCGAAACCGCGGCTCCACTTGAGTGACAGAATTAAACGCAATCCACATATTGGAGGGGAAAAAAGAAAGGCAGCCCCATTTGGTTGTCAGACTGTGGGTACATACACAAAGCTTTTAGCAAAAAAAAAAAAAAAAAAAAAAAAAAAAGAGAAGAAAAAAGAAGGAAAAGTTGTTGCCCTCTTAAATCACATCTATATTAGTGACATGAATGACAGGCTTAAAGGGAAAATTATAAATCTTTCTTTCCAGCTTTTCTTCTATTGCCCAAGCATATCGTTCATCTCTGCAGAGCGGTGCCATTAAGCACGCAGCTGGCAGAGGCGGCTGCTGTGGATAAGCAGCAGTGAGGCCCCTCCTGCCCCGCAGCCCCTGCAGCACCCTGCTCCTCTCTGCTCCATCACCCGTGTGGTGAGGAGCGAGTGAGACCGAGTGCCCTGCTGGGGCAGTGCTTGGCCATACCCCCACCCCGTGCTTGGGGCTCTGTGCCATGGCAGAGCAATGCTCTGGGGCTCTCACAGGATGTCCCATGTGCCATCAGGGCGGTACGTGCCCCCGGTGTGCCAGTGCTTTGAGTTCCTGATGGATGGAAGAGGGCTGGCTGCCCTCTGCCCCATGGAAGGTCTCTTCCATGGACCCAGCAGGTCTCTGTTTCTGCTTTGTTCATTTTCCTACGTCAGTCTCAAGGGAAAACAGAGAGGAAGGCAGAGAAACCCCCAAGTCTTGTGGGATCACGAAAGTACATTTCATCACCTTCGGTTAAACCTAATTCCTTTGAATTTCCCCAAACCCAGTTCTGCTTTTGCTGGAGGCAACACAGGGCTGACATGACCGCTGGGCCAGAACGTGTGCATGTATATGTATGCATGTATCCATGCACACACTGCCATTCCCTTTCTGTGCCAGCCTCAAACACTGCAAAGACACTTCATTGTCTGTGACCACCACGCTCCCAGTGCATGGTAGCCTAATTACAGGCAATCCACTTTAAATGCTGACATGTCGTGTTAAGTTATGCTGCAGGTGGAAGAGTGGACAGAACATTTCTCTGCCTTCTCTCAAATCCTGTAGCATTATTAACTGGCTTCGTCAGCGGCACAACTGTCTGGAGAAATTAATCTGTTTCAAAGTGGCCCTTGATTTCCCATCACCAGTGGCACTGAGTGCACAGCGTTTGGGGAATGGTGGTTGTTTTTTTTTTTCCCATGAGGGAAGTGGAAGATTAAAAAAATTAAATGGTTTCATTTGAAACCTCCTGCAGAGCTTACTATGTAACAATAAAAGGCAATGATGGCTCCTTACAAATCAACTGAGGGGAAAAAGAGAATTAAGAGAGAGCGGCAGTGAGGATGCCAGGTGCTGCAGCGCGCTTCTCGTTGGTCTGCACAGCCCAAACCGTGCAGCTCCCACCTCTGTGCCAGCACCACTGCAGCACATAACAAAACCATTTCACTTTCCATGACTCTTCTCATCTGAACAGACACCCGGAGATTTCTCAGCTGTGGGAAAGTGCACAGAGCCTCTTTCTGCATCATGGAGAGGCACAGGGAAAGAAGAACTGGGTGGAAACTCCATGATGAAAGAACAGGCTTTCAAAGGTTGAAAACACCTGAATGACAATACACAGCACAGGGAAATAAAGCGTGCTGCCACCCCAGCACTGCAGCTTGGTCCTGAGGGGACTGCATTTCTCAGAGCAGAGAGATTCCTCAGGGCTGCAGAGCCCCGCAGAGAGCCGTGCTGCAGCAGGGAGCCCTTACCCCCCAGGCACAGTCTGGCACATTAAAAACCCGACAGGATCTTTCTGTTTTCAGCTCGCTGCTTCTGAGGCTCTCTAATGTGTTGCCATTGCCCTGTGCTCATCCCCAGCGCAGTATAAATAGCTGCCAGTAGATGACAGATAGGGCATGGACATGATGCCCATGTCCTCCCCCCATCCCACTGTCAGACCGTGGGGACAGCAGGGACTCAGAGGGGCTGAGCAGCGGAGCTGAGCAGGAGGAACTGCTGGTGGTGTTCCTGAAACCCTGCTGTACGTGAATGTAGAGGTGAGTATCTGAGCCAAGCAATAGCTCCAAGGCTTAATTGGGGCTTGGTGTAATCTAAGAGTTGGACATAACTAAGAATGTATGTAATTTTATGTTGGGTGTTGCAGTGAGCTCCCAGTTCAGCTTGGTTTTTATCCTAAAACCCTCCAGCAAGGCTGTTTCTGGGATAACGGAGAGCTTAAACATCAGCTCCTTGTCCTGTGCTAATTGTCTTTACCACACCATCCTCCATCCAAAGCAGCACGGTTCCAGCAGGATGCCCAGCTTCTGACACCAGAATTTGAGATGACTGACAAGAAGCCGGAGAAGAGTAAACGGGAATGGGAAGAGGTTTGGAAAACAGGACCAAAAAAAGAAACCAAATTTGCTCTGTTTTGACTGCCACTGGCTCCCCTCTGTTGACAGCAGTCCAGATTTGGGGGCTGGTCTTTCTCCCACTGCATTCAACAGGGAACTTTTCCATTGGCTTCAGTGGGGGCAGTAACAAGCCGTAGTATCTGTCAGTGCACATTGCCAATGGAAGACAAACTGGAATTGCTAAGCACTGTCTGTAATGAGAGATCATTTTTTCCTTCCTCCTCCTCTCCCCCCAGCCCATTTTCAGACCATAACCACGTTTTAATGAATAAAAAGTTGTTGTTTCAAATCCTTGCAGCACTGCAGTCCCTGCCAAGCCTGTTTTTCTTCTGGAAAGACAGATGGGTGTGCTCACATTATGGTAGTTGTTTCTTGCGTGCCATATATTTTCAGTGATGTTCATGAAACTAGAATTAGTGACACTAATAATGACAAATCAGAGGGCTAATATTGTTTAACCCTGTTAAAGAGTGTTATTACATTTACATGTTCCCACAGAGTAAATGCTGTTTGGCTCAGACATATGTCTTGCTATCTGTTTATTTTTATGAATCAGAAATGAATCAGCAGTCAGTCTAAGAGTGTCCCTTAGATTCACTTGTCTCATATACCACCTCAGAAGGAAAAAAAGAAATCAACCAAAAATACATACCAGGGTTTACTGAATCATTTTGTATTCAGTAGAAGCCTATTATTATTACTGCATTAATTCTAATCAATAAGACAGAATGTTGCAGGTCTACAAGGATGTATCCCAAAATGCTGAGCCACAAAGCTAGATCGTGCTCTTGCTGATGCAATATGCATTCCTTTTCAGATGGCAAAGGCAAAGCAAAACCTTCAAATTAGTCCTTACGTTGCGCCTGTCTGGTCTGCACTGTTTATGAGCAGTGCCTTTAGCCAGCAGGTCTCTCAGAATGCAAAGAGCAGATGCACAACACAGTCTACGGCATTATGTCCTATTTGTGTACAAGACCTACAGTGATTTAGAGCTGGGGAATGGTTCCCCCTCAGCACTGCATACAGCAGATAAATAGAAGGAAATGACAGGCCCTGCTGAGCTGGTTCCAACCATATCTTGCTTCCATCCTCAGGGACTTTCAGGAAAAGGTCTCGGATCTCTGGGAAGGCCTTTGAGAGGAACCCACTGTCCTTCCTGATGCTCAGGCCCTGCTTCTTCTTGGTAAGGAGCCAGTAACAGCCCAATGATTTTTGCCTTAAAGCCTAAAATCAATTTACCGCTTCAGAAAATTGACCAAGAGAGTTATGTAAGAGGCACAAAAAACATCACACTTTCTTAGAGCATTAGACATTCCAAGAATTACAGAAGGTAATTTAAATTCAACTCAGCCACCACTGTTGCAATATTGAGGTTTTAAAGTCAGTTTATTTATATTTTAACTTTGCAGTTTCCCATAAGGCATGGTCAAAGTCTTTAACACAATCACTGACATTAGGAATTCTCGTCCTCCTTTTCCCTTGCTCCTTATCAAGCGTACTTTGCTTCCTGCAATGGTTTATTGGGACCATCTGCATCTCCTCCTGTTTTCTCTCAGGCATGGAGATAAGATTTCACCTTTGGCTGTCTGGTTGGAGTCCAGCTGGCAGTCGGGACGCATTCGGCCGCGGCTCTGCGCCTGTTGCATGCCTGCGCCAGGCTCACATGGTGCCAACAGAAGGGCCCACGTGAGCCACTCTTCATGCTCAGGACCTGCTTCGTTTTCCTCTTCCAGGCTTCAGAGCTTCGGAACTCATTGCTTGAAATAAATGCCGCAAGTCCTTATCTGAGAGGCTGAGCAATCGGCTGCGTGTTGCAGTCTGTGCTCCTCCCCAATGTGAGAGGGGATGGCGAAGCCCGCTGGGATGATGAGGGCACTGCTTGCCAAACCAAAACCTGATCTGCCTCCTGAATATTTTCAAGCTGCTGTTGGTCCCCACAGCTGCCCCCATCTCTGCTCATCGCCCTCATTCCTGACCTTGCTGCCTATGCTGAAAGCAGCACCGTCACCACCTGTGTGCTTGGGCCGTACAGCCTTGCGCCCAGCAGAGCAAGCATTTACTCTGCTGTCATTTACTCCACCCAGCTCAGAGTGCTTCTGGATGTCTGGCCATCTTACCACTGGTAAGTACCTGGTACTGACTTTTGCCTTATGCAGTACTTGAACGTGAAGTTGAAGGCCTTGATTTCAGCCTTTGGAATGATCTGCAGCCGCAGCCCGCTGCACTGAGCAGTTGGGAAGGAATGCAGCCCCCCAGAGCTGGGGCACAGCTCCCAGCAGTGGGGAGGGAGGAGGCAGAGCCCTCCCCCAGCTCACCCAGCAGCCCTGCAGAAATGCTGCGGTCTTTGAAGATAATAGGAGCAAAGCCAGTTCCTTTCTTCCTTCCTTCCCTCGCTTCTTTTTGGAGACACATTATCCGCACAGAGGGTCAAGTATCTAGTTAAACGTTTTTCAAAGGCCCGAAGTGAAGGTCTGCAATGCAGACAAGCCATCTTGAGCCTCGCTGCACATTTTCCCAAGAAACTGGAGGAACACCTCATGTACTATTCTTTTGTTTCTTGGCTTCTTTCCTTTAATATTTTTATTCTTATTTTTTAGTATCTCATGAAATAGAAGAACCCGCCAGTCTTTGATGTTTTAGAAAAGCCAAAGAGAAAAATCTGTAAAAGCACTTTCTATGTTTGCTAGATTTTTTTTTCTCCTTAAACACAGGCTGCAAGTCTCAGAAGAAGTCAAGGACTCGGTTTTCTCTTTGTTTTTAGTGCCTGGCTGCTTCCAACTGCGTTGAAGTGTCAGCTGCAGATAAATAAGGGAATGAAAACAGAGAAGGTCTGTTTAAGAGAAAATGTCTGTCCTTCAAAGTCCAGAGAGATAGAAGCAAATTTATAGTCCCCTGGGTAATGTCCAGGGAATCTTTTGGAGCCTTGAGGCCAACAGTGGATGCTGAAGCAACAGCCCTCAGCAGTTCTGTGCATCCTTAATGCTGCACCGAGGCCTGAGCTGCTTCCCATCCAGAGAAGCAAAAAGCAGATTAAACCTGGAAAGGAAAGGGACAAGGAGAGGTCCCTCTGGGCCACTTGCAGTGAAGGGCCCACGGCCCAGGGGTCAGAGGTAGCCACAGGGCAGTACAAAGCACTTTGGAGCTGTGTGTTAGAGAAGTTCATCCCGTGCCCCAGGATGGTCACTTCTTGCTTGCTTTTTTAGGGGACGTGCAAAGGAAGGTCTGACATGAGTGTACAGTCTCTGGACCTTGACAGACTTGGATGAAGGTGGCCTTCCCTTAAGCACCTGCATACAAGCATCACAGCTTATATAATCATTGTAATTAGCATGGTGCAGTCTTGCTTATTTGGACTCGTGATTACCTGAGAACCAAGGCCGAATTAATCTAAAAGGAAAAAAAAACAACAGTAGGTGTCTGTCTCATAGCTACGGAGAAATGTTCAAGGCAAAGGTGGACTTCTCCACTGCTCTTCCACAGGCGTATTTCCGAGGTGCTGTTTTCCCTCAACCTTTTATTCTGTGTACTCTGCAGCAGGCAGCCCTGCCTTGGTGTGGACGTGCAGGTTGTACCACACAGTGCCAGCTGCCTCTGCTGGGCTCAGCACGGACTGTTTTAAACTAGTTTAGGAGGAAGTTCTTCACCCAGAGGGTGGTGACGCACTGGAACTGGTTGCCCAAGGAGGTTGTGGATGCCCCATCCTGGAAGCATTCAAGGCCAGGCTGGATGTGGCTCTGGGAAGCCTGGTCTGGTGGTTGGTGACCTGCACGTAGCAGGGGAGTTGAAACTAGATGAGCATTGTGGTCCTTTTCAACCCAGGCTGTTCTATGATTCTGTGAAATCCACAAAGTGCAGAATTGCACTTTCTGTGGAATCAAGACTAATGCAGAAGAGTTACCATAACAACAACACCTCGACATGCTGCTTGCACAAATACCTGAATGGAGTCAGTGTCCTGTTGGGTGAAAAACGTTCAACCCATTGAAGGACAGGCTGCTGCAAATGGTGCACCTGGAGTCATGATTTTGTAGCAGGAAATCAGTCTGTGAGAAAAGCCTTTCACAAATTACTGATCAGAACTGTATTGCTCTTCTACCCAAGCAGTGGCGATGCTGGCTGCTGCCACCCACTTGCTGGCTGAGTCCTGCTACTGGGGAGTTGGAGGGTTCATGGCAGCAGAACAGAGCTCTGTGGTGGTGTGCACTGCACAAACACGGGGCAGCAGGAAAAGAAAGGCCCTAGAGATAACCTGGCAAATGACAGGTTATCTTCAGGAATGTGTGCTTTTGGAGGAAAAAAGTGTAGCTATCCAAAGTAACCTAATGGAAAGAGATGTAACAGGAGCAGAGATAAGGGGGAATAGGGCAGGGAAGAGAGAGCAGCGTGGAAATATATAAAATGATGGGGGTTTCTGAAGAGAGTCCAGCAGTCCAGCAAACAGCCCTGCTGTCCCATCCAGTGGTGGCTTCTTTTAAAATCCCTTAGTGACTTCCATCTCCCTTTGTTATTGTAGTTTTCTCCTAAAACATCAATTTCCCAAGTCTCTTTGGCCTATGGAAAGGTTTGGGGGTAGGAATTCCTTTTTTTATTTTTTTTTATTTTTTTTTAATTAGACACTTTGCTGGTGTTCAGCATTTTGCTGTCTTAATCCCACAAGGCTTTGTGTTTAGAAGCCGGGCAGCTAAATGCCACACAGTTCCTTCTCCTTCAAATACTTCTTCCACCCAGCCTGGCTACTGTGAGGCAGCTCAGTGCACAGCTGTGCGCAGTATTCACTCCCATTGAAGAGAACTCAACAGGGCAAACCCCACGCCCAGCCCTGCACCTGCATTCTTCTCCTTTTCCTTGCAAACAAAGTGCCAGGCCTTAAGTTTCCTCTAGGTTTCTGTAAGCATTGTTCTAACAGAGATCCCTGCCTGTTTATTTGTTCCCAGAACAGTGCTGGATTTTGCTTACAGTCCATCTCTGCTGTTACAAGAAAAGAGCTCGAGTGATTTCTGCTCTGCTCTCTTTGATAGTGATATTCAGCAGTGAGTCTTTGTGTATAAGAAACCCACAAGCAGCAGCTTTTCCCAGCATTATAATTTGTTACACTTAGGTGTTACTGAGCTGCTTGCTGTAACCTGCAGATTCCCGCAAGTTTCTCTTGGTCCAGGTTGGTCACACAGTAGTTTTAGGTTCCCTCTGCAGCAAGTGGAGGGAAAAAGGCATCCTCAGAGCTGAAATTTATCCCACTTTAGATCAGAACCATTCTGAAGGGTCTCTCTTCCCCACTGAGCACAAAGGCAGTGCAGGGCAGGTGCGCTGCTAGGAACCCTTCTGGGCTGGCTGATGCCTGCCCTAAGCTGCTCTCCACTTCAGCAGACAAGAAAAGAAATGAATGGGAAAGAAAAGCAAGACACAATAGCAGGAGGTGGGCAAGGAGGCTCAGAGAGAGCAGGCACTGCCTGGAAGTGGCACCCAGCATAGGGCTGGGCTGGGACCCAGATCTCCTGACGAACCCCTTTTCCTGCAGTTTGTAGTGCATGGCGCTCTGCTCTGTCGGACAAAAAGAATATCATTGTCTATTTCCTTCTTCTCTTCCTTTCCAATAGTTGCATGTTAATTAAGCACTTAAAATTTTCCAGAGCAGATGTAAAACCAGAAACCTCTAAGTTAGATGGAAAGAACTCAACATTTCAGCCAGTGTGAAGTATCCAGCAAAAATAAGCATGTGGGAAAAAAAACAACATCGTGCAAATAATATTGCTGAGAGAAATATAAAAATTACATGAGAAGGGCAGACAGGGGCATTGTGCAACGGATAAGGAAGGAGAGTTAGGACCGAGGCAGGGTTGTTAATTTTGCTTAGTAAGTACGGCTGCTGAACAATTCCCATTCCCACCCCGAGGTCTCTGACCCCACAGCACAGCCTCACAAACATCTCATTCCATGCTCTGCACAACGGTGCGGGTCCCACGGCCTTCAGCAGCCAGGCAGTGGGGACAGGAGTGGGGAGATGGCAGTCAGGGATGGGCCCCATGCCAAGTGCCCTGCCACCAAGCAGTGGGCTGCCCTGCACACAGCTTGACCTCCAGAACCAGAGCAGGATGTGCCCTGCCCCAGCAGCCAAACTCCTGCTGGTGAAGGCACATCTGCTCAGCACCCAGCCCAGCAGTGACCTCCCAGCCCCACGGGGCATCTGTGGGATGCAGGGCAAGCAGCCTGACTTCTGGAGGTCATTAGACCAGAGTGTTTTCAAGGCACGCAGTCTTTACCATACCCCCTTACAAGCTTAACCATACTTGGCACTACGCCCTGTGGTGATTTTAATGTGTGGTGGTTACAGGAGGCTTTAATTCCAGCTGCTGTGCTTATACCAAACCAAGATGGCAACCCAGGAGCCAGTGGATTTGGATCACAGCTGCCCCTTCAATGCCAGTGAGCGAACAAACACCTTAAGGCACCCAGAAAGGATCCCTGCAGCACAGAAGAACAAACTTTGCTCAAAAGAGGTTATCAGTGGGACCCCAGGAGACCAGTCACTGTGAAGCTCTACTTCATTCCGTAAATGTTTTGGAAGCAATTACTTCATCTTGTTCTTTATTCACAGGATTCACTTAACTGATGACATTATAGCTCAGTCCATTAAGTAAATGGGTTATATATTTTCTCCTGGTTTTGGTGAAGTAATGTTGCAGTCTATGTCGCTATCATTGTCAGCAGTCAATGGGGACAGATCCTCATTTGTTTAGTGAGGTTTACCTCAGCTGAGATCGTAAATATGATATAACTGGCTCTGGATATTTTATAACATTTGAGCAGGATTAAAAAAAAAAAAGAAGAAGAAGAAGAAAGCAAGTGTTATTTTCACAAAAATTCCTGGCAGCTGTACCGTTTATTATGGGAGGAAAACGGAGCAAGAAAAATTGGCGTGTCATTTCTTAAATGAATTTATATCCTCATTTCCTTTAGAAAATGAATCCATGCTCCATCTAGCCATTTTCCATCAGTCTGCAGGGGCAAAGTTTGCAGAGCACAATCGAAGCACACAGTTATAGCGTAGGCCAGCGTGCCACATAAGGCTTTATAATAAGATCCTCCCCCACCACTACTGCCAGTAGCACTTACAAAGGCTTTATTTCCCATCAGTTAGCCGTGCAGCAGGTCTTAAAAGTCAGCAGCAGCTCAGAAAATGATCGGGGACATGCAGTCAGAATTCTGGTCAGCAGGGCCAGAAGGAATCGGAGGGCGGTCACCGCACGTCCCTGCGCCATCATGGCACTGTTGGGTGCCTCTTTTGTAGCTCCTTTGCAATGTCTCAGTTTCCCAGGGAGGAGAGGCAGCAGGCTGGGGAGATTTGCCAACAGATAAGCAAATTCAGGAGCCAGTTAGAAGCACTGCATTTGGGAACTGTCACAGAATGCTGTCACTCAAAGAAGTTTCTCACAAAATCTCCAGAACAACCTCTTCCTCCCCCACATCCATCCGCCTCCTGCGAGGGGTGGTGGTTAATATACTAAATACAACATAACCACTTGGAAAGCGCTTTTCGTTTTGAGTCACCACCTTGCTATTCCTGCAGCCACAGAGACAGAATGGTGGAGCTGATGTCATGAATCTGGTGCATACAGCAACAACCTGGGGAGCTGGGGCTGCAGTTCTGAGGAAAAGGAGGCCCTGGAAATGTCTTCTGGGGAAGTCAGGATGCAGGAAATGCAATGCTTCGTTGCCAGGAAAATGAAAGAAAAAGAGGATAATAGCACTGTAATGTCAGTTCTGCCTGCCTCCAGTTTGTTTTAAAGCACTCTCAAATATATGAAAAAAAAAAAAAAAGGAGAAAATCTAAAAAAAAATAATAATGGAAAACAGAAAAAAGATCCTGCATTTACTGCCAACAGTTTTTTGGATACAGCCTTTTTATTCTTTTCAGCTGAGATTTTAAAAAAACACCCAAAAAAAGAAGTTCAAAGCCCAAAGTGATTTCAAAACGAAAAGCTGAAGGCTCCTGTTCCAGCAGGCAGCTCGCTGGGACAGGGTGGCAGACAGGGTGGGAATGCCAGACATCAGGTCCTGGCAGCCTGACAAACACAAGGGAGGGCCTGAGAGCAACAAAGCTGGGACACGAAACCCACAGACTGCCGGCGATTTGGGTCAACATATGGCTCAACACACTGACTTTGGCCAACCTCGCCGTGTTTCAGCCTCCAAGGTGCCACCTGCTATTTTCTCACATCAGAACTGCAGAGCACTGATGGCACTATGAAAGCAAAAGCGATTCTCATCATACCGCACACACGTTCCTGTATAAATGGGGAGCTACAGTGCTGTGTACTTACACAACATCTGATCTACAGCCTCCTGGACCTACTGAAAGCTCGGGGGACTCCTGATAGGTATTTTGGCTGTTGAGTGGGAAAGCAGCACTACTGATGTGGGCCGGGGTCCCTCGGCAGCGGCTGCATGGGCCGCTTCCCCCGCCAGGCGCTGTGGCTGTGCGCAGCCTGATGTCAATGGCACTATTATGATTTCACCCAGGCTCGCAGCTCCGGCTGCATTTTCCCTCATTCCCCGAACAGCAGGGAAGGTCTAGACGGGAGCTACAAAGATTTCCACATACACAGACACAGATTTTTTTTTTTCCCAAACTGCCTGTTTCACCAACCATGAGAGCAATTCACAAAGCATATGAAGGCTTTGTGCTCTCTGACCTGCTTGGCTGGCTTTCCTCAGCCCGTCCGAATGGCTCTGCTGGCCCAGCCCTGCACACATAGGCAAGCTCGAGACTCTGTTGTAGACAAGCTAAACTTTGGGAGAAACTAAATGTGGGTATTAAAGCTGGAGTGAGAGATACATGGCTGTGGCAGGGGAGAGTAACTGTGGGATGGAGAGAGCTCAAGGCTGGGGCTGGATACACAAGAAGAGAAATCTCCCTAACACCATCTTTCATTGTACGTGAGATTGGAATCTGCATTTGGAGCTGAGCTTCTCTCCTATCCCTCTCATGAGCCTGGGGACAGACAGATAAACGGGGCCCAAAGTCTCCAAGCGTGGCACACTGCCAAGGAGTGCAGCTCACAGAGGTCCCAGACCCCATGCTGTGCCCCACCGCCTGCAGTGAAAGGGCCTCCAGCATTCAAGGGAGCTCCAGTCAGGGCTGAGCAGAGCACACAGCACTGACGTTGCCCTCAGGTCCTTGAGCAAACCATCTCCAGCCCAGCAAGCTCTGGACCACTGCCATGCAGAGACTGTCCTGTTGTGTAGAATAACCGGAGAAGAACAGAGGACACGATAACCTGGGAAGGGCTTTGCCCTGGGAACACTGGCACTCAGGATGCTCAGAGCTGTGGGAGCCCAGCTCACAGCCTGCCCTGGCCTGAGGGCTCGCAGCCCCCAGCACAGAGCTGTCTGCACACAGAGCACTGGGGACGTGGGCTCCAGCAGAGCCCAGAATGGCACTGCGCGGTGTGACGGAGCTGCTTGGCAGCCCAGGGGAGTGCTGTGACATCGCTGTGTGACTCTGCTCTGTGAATCTTTTCCAAACAACAACAACAAGCAGCAGGCAGGTCAGAGCAAGCAGTGATTCATGTACTCAGAATGGTTCTTCTGAGAAAAGCAGCCATGACCAGAGGCACTTTCAGCAGACAGCACCACTTGAGCAGACCTGGCTGCTTCTAGGTTCATTTCCTTGAAAGGGCTGATGGCAGCGTAGGCAACAATGTGAACGATATGACAATAATCAGTGTGGGGGAGTTTAAAAAGGAAAGAAATTGGGGGAAGGGACAAAAAACCCAGGAAAGAACTGCCAGGAGGGGCACAAGCACAGCAGGTGTGCTTGCGTTGGAGCAGCAGTTTTTCTGACGAAAGGCATGTAAGAGAATTACAGGAATGAAATATTGAACCAAAATTTTAAATGTGCTAAGAATAAACCACTGCATCTCACACTGTCTCTATTTTAACAAAGTATTTTTCAATTTTCAGACTCTGCCATACGAGAGGAGAAATGGGACATCCCCACATCTCTGCCCACTCCTTGTGTGCAATTCCAGCCCAGTGCAATGGTTCCAGTTATTAAAAAACAACAACACACTGAACAACAACAGAAAAAAAACACCCAACAACCCTTCAGGAAGTGAAAGCTAAAAGAATACGTGTCATTTCATGGTCCCTCCTTCTTAGGTCTGTTTAACATCTTTGTGTCAGGTGCTACAGTTGTAAGCAGCTGCTGTTGTATTGGTGCCTGTTTGCTTTTCTCTTTGGAGTTTGCACAATCCCCATCTCACAATGGAGCGTGCCAACAGTTTCAGTGCTGGAAAACAGAAATAAACAGAGGAACAACTGTTCTGCATTATGCATAGCGACTAGTGAAAATTATTTTCCCCTTCTTCTTTCCTAATGACTCACACCTTCCAAAATCCCATTAGCTGAAATCCATGTAACCTGCTTTTCCTCTTCGAGTCAATTCTGTTTTTCCCTCTCAACCAACTAACTTCAGAAGAAAAAAATCTGCATCTCAGTCCTTCTCATCCTCTGATAAAAGCAATCTGACCTCCACCAGAAGGGATGGGGAGACCTCCAAAGGCTTCAATTCCTTTAAGTGAAGCGCAGCTGAACTTTTAAACATCCCCCTCTAATCCCTCACAAGCTCACATTTCGCCTTTACTCTCCATGGGCTTACTGACAGGGGAATACCTTCCCAGAACGGATGTACCACAGTAATTAATCCACTGTAGATGAGGCGAGTAAAATTCTCACCTGCACCTTATTCTGGAACGAAGCTTATTTTGTTCTGGTTTCATGCCTGTGTGTGTGCACAGCTTTTGTTGCACAGCCCTGGCAGCAGAGCCCACAGTGACCCATCAGAGCAGGACGTGTCCCAGCACAGGTAAGCCAGGAGGTCTTCAGAGAGACCAGGCTGCAAACTGCAAAAAGGCACTGGGATTGGAACTGGGTTCATTCCCATTTCAGATGCACGGCCTTACCTACATATCCTTCCCTGTATACAAACACCTTCAGGAGGGTCTCACTGCTCCAAGGCTGTACCTGTGGTGCCAGGCCATTGCTCTGACCCCCTTCTGATGAAAGCAATTTTTCAAGCTGTTTTTCTAACCCATCACCCAGCCATGAACCCAGCAGAGCTCCATGGCACCTCTTGGCATTGCTGGTTCCCCACTGCACGCCACGTGCTGCTCTGCCAGCTCTGCCCATCGGCGCCCTGCCCTCACACTCACACTCTGGTTTCCCATTTTTTCAGTGGGAACGTAATACTGCTTTGGGGATTCATTAATTGATGGATATGGACAGCTTGGAAAGCGTAAAGCACGACAGAGGACTTAAGTGTTATAATTAGGAGCAATTCTCATTCTGATTACAATGAGGTAAAAGCTGGAAGTCTTACATCACTGGAAGATTTAAGCTGATAAAAAAAGATCAGAGCGGGGTCTTATGATTTTCAATGTAAACTTGGGCAGATTCCCTGCCGAGTTACATCTGCAACTGTAATAAGATCATGGAACATGACAACTTGTTATTTCAGTAAGAGATATAGGGAAAATGCCCTTTGAAAAAATTGAACAGGAAGGAAATTTTAAAAGTGTTTTCTTTGGCTCTGAAACATATGCCCAGGGAGAAACTGTTCTCAGCAACGCAGTGGATCTTGAAATATTTACTGGGTCTGGCATTTAACATAATCTTTCTTGTACAAACGATATAGGAAAAACACATACTATCTTAGACTGCAATCTAGTGTGAGGATGAGATGGTATTTTAATAGGGCTGCATTTATCAACTGCAACAAGGGAGGGAACGTGCTCCAACCCAACGCGCCTGGTGGGCAATGCCAGCAAGCCAGCGACTGCGACCGCCAGAGAAGTACGGCGATGGGAGGAAGGCAGACGGACAGACAGCCTGCGGGGAACGAGGGCGGTCTGGGAGGTGAAGGGAGGCACCCGCTGCCCATCGTACCGGGATCCCATCCCCATCTCTACCATCCTAAATGCTCCTGGAAACCTGAATTTCTGACTTGACTTGCAATGGGATTTGCATGTCTAGCCAGTGACACTACTATTTTCAGAAGTAATTAAATTTTTAATTACGCTTTTTAATAGCTGGTAGCTGCTGCCTTGCAGTTTTGTTCCTGTCCCTCTTGGACGCACCTTGGAGCAGCACCAGGAGCCTCCACTTCTCTTCCAGTGAGATGTGAGAGTGTGAACACACAGCAAGAAAGGGGAGAACGTGTGTGTCAATGCGTGCAGCTGATCTTGCAGCCACACATCACAGCTGGAGACTGAAATCAGAACTGGGCAGTGCATCTTAGAGCTATGGGAACATCCCCTCAGCATTTCCCAACACAAGTCTGCAGAAAGAATGAGGAAGCCAGAAAGGCTCAGACCTGCAGTGTGGAGACAGAGTTGGTTCTAGGGAAAGCACACCAGCTTTCCTCTAAATCAGGTGTTTGGGCTGAGTGCTTGTAATTGTAGGAAAAAGGGAAAGTTGTCGTATAAAAGCAGCCACAGGAGAAGTGAAATAAACTCTTCAGAGATGGCTCGTGCTGGAGCAGATGCTGTATTGAAAATCCAGAGTGAGAGAATTCTCTGTGACCTTGGGCAAGTCACCCCATCTCTTACCAGCTCAGACTGCCAGTCGGTTACTAAGGCACACCAACCTCCTCACTGCTCCTCTCCTCTCTGGAAACAGACAGAGATACGGAAGAATAAGGGTATCTCTTTTCTAGATATCCAAAAGGAGGAGAGGTCTAATAAAACAGAAAGGAATTAGAAGGCAGCTCATTTTGATCCAGGCAGATCCTTCAGCCTTTTGAAGTTTAAAGGATCCCTGACTTTGCTGAAGCAGTCCCAAGACTCCCATGCACCCATTTGCAGAGAAAATAAAAGTCCCTCCAGAGCTGGCTGCTCATTAATTTGCTTTTCTTTTCTCATCATTTGTTTGTTAACTTGTCTGCTTGGGAAGATGGCGTGGGTTCCTATGATTTTCTAGTCATTGCCTAACCCACCTGTTGCAGGGCCCAGCAGCGCTTAATGGTGCTGAGCACCACGGAGCTGCAGTGCCCATAAGCACGTCTGTTCCCAGTTCCCTTTGGTGTCACTCCCTCACAGACGCCCTTTAATCAGCAGATTTCAGGTGCACAGCAAACCTTGGACTCGTGGAGCACAGCGGTGATGCCACACTGGAGCGTTGCTGGCTGCAGACCCCCACAGGCACCGCTGCATCCCATCCCTTTCCAGCCAACTACAAACAGCAGCACAGAGTGGCTGTGATTTGGCATCTCGTTACCGCAATGACTTCAGCAGTTCAGGTAACCATTTCCAAATTGCTGCTAATTGCTGTTAATTTGCGTGCGCGGCAGCCCGACGGGATATACAGCCCAGGTGGCAGAGGGCAATGCTTGGTTTTCAGGTCCTAATTTTATCTCGCTTTTTAAAGGCAGGTTTGAACCTCCGAGGTTTTGACTTCTTCAGATCCCCTTGTTATGAAGTTATGAGAAAACATTTGTGGTGGGGTGATTTCCTTTTGCCCTAGACAGCTGTCAGGAGCAGCAGAATGGCCCAAGGTAAAATCTGACGTGGGCGAAAGGAATGGCTTAAGCCAGTAAGTTAAAGTGATGGGTTAGAAAGCCTGGGGGGAAAAAATGAGCCAATAATTGCTGAAAACCTTCCTATTCTGCTGAGTTTATTTAGTCAAATTCGGTGGCCCCTCTCCAGGCCTGCAGCCCTTTCCACACCTTGAAGAGGAACAGTATTCAACATTTTGCACCTATTGTTCAATGACTCTGAGCATCAGCTTGGTGTCAGGCCCTGCAGAACAAATGCAGCCCCTCCCAGGCTGCAGGAGGAGTGGGCACAGAGGGATGGCTGGGGCCCAGAGCCCACCCTGCATTGGTTGCAGCATCAGCAACAGTTCTGGACCCCAGCTCCAGGCTGCCTCTCTCTGAGCACACGTCAGCAGCCTTTGGGGAGGTCGCTGCTGCTTTAACACCTCCATTTTAGGTACTGGGAGATCACCTGCTGCTTGGAGTCCTCAGGTCTGAGAAGTGTGACCAGGTTCATAGCGGAGCCCCCACAGCCTCTCCCATTGAATCAAACTGGAGATATCCATCACCTCTGTGGTGTTTCAAGTTCAATGGGATTCTAAAAATCTCTTTCTTACTCCCCAGCAGTCTGTAGGGGATTCTTTTAATGAGCAGTCTGCATCAGGAACGGATGAACACCCCTCACCAAAGAAGGTGGAAAAGTGGATTAGTGTCTCAGATACAGTTGTCACAGATCACATTTGTGCTTCCTGGACAATTTCAGTTTTACTGAAGAAATGCACATCTCCACACCTCCAAAAATAATACTACCCAAAGGAAAATCTGCTTGAATTTGGAAAATTTTCAGAGGCATTTGGGGAGGAACACGGAGGATAACTTTTGTCTGCAAGAAAGGATAAAGGACCTCAGTATTTGTTTCAACATTCTGCAAACAGTAGTTGCAACCTCGATGCGCCCTTGGCTCTGGATGCCAGCAAAATCCAGAGCTGTGCACAAATATGATCCCACATAGCTTGCAAACTGCAGCTTTTGGGCTGGTGGCTGCTGCCGCCCAGAGCTGCGTGGGGTCCCAGGAGTGGGGATTCCTCGCGCCCAGAGCTGCCCAGCATGCAGCCCAGGGTCCACTTCTGCCCTCTGTGCTGCACCCCGGATTGCTCACAGCCTGCAGCCTTCTCTATGTTTGGACACCTGCCACAGAGTGCTTCACTTCGCTAAGCAAGCATTTGCAACACAAATATAATTACCTTCCTCTCTGGTAGCCTTTGTGCCTCAACTAATTTTATGGAGCGCTCATTTTCATTCAATTAGAAACTGAAATTATATTAATACTAGATTATTATTATTATTTTTATAAAGACTCTTAAAATTCAGCTTTTGCTTCTGCTAAATGATTGCTTGCAGACCTGTCTCTTTGGAGGTCTCAGCCTGAACCTTTCACGAGGCGTTCAGAGAATGCAGACTGGCTGGTTATCAGGTCATACTTTATACAAAGGCTGAATCTTTATTTAATAGTCAGTCTCCTATTGATTCACACAGGCAGCAATGGTGACTAACAGCTGTGATTCATTGGCACCTATTGGTGTCAGGAGGTTGGGGTTTCTTTTTCACGCTTCACAACCTCTTCCCTCTGCTTCCCCAAAACCCACATACTCTAAATACGTGTCTCTTAAATTACAAAGGAACAAATTAACAGAGTGGGAAGGCTATTTTTTTTAACAGCAGCTCTACACTTGTAGTAAAATTCACATCCTTTTGTGTGTCCCATCTGCAGATATTTTAGAGCAATGTGCAAGTTTCTA